TGGCGTGTTTTTAGGCTTTTCTATCTGGCAGTTTTTTTGCCCTGGTCTCTCTCGTAAAAGAAAGTGCAAAAACGAAAGCCCGAAAAAAAGCCTAAAACACACCAAAATAAGCCAAAATCCAAACTTTTGCTTGAAGACTAGTAATGCATTGTGACCGTTTATCTGTAGTCCTGATATAGGTATTTCTAACCGGTGCGAGTTTCACTGCAAAATTCCTTATGCATTGTCACACGCTTGCTTCCTTCGTCTGAGTTCGTCAGTATATACACATGTGACCACTCCACACTGCTTAATGAAAAGAGGCCATTTGCTTGCAAATCTCCCCCGACTCGGCTGTAGGTGTGCGTCCATTACGGACAGTGGTCGACGATTGATAGTGCCATGAAACGCCGTATAGTGATTGATGGTCTTAAGTCAAGTCATAGCCGCTGTCAAACGGCCCACATCACAAGTCTACCGCAGGCCTGGCGTTAGATGGAGCTAACAGTGTCAAATTCAAATTTTATTCGGTAAGGCTCTCGCGGGCAAATGCGCGAATTTCGTCCCTATTACATACGTACATAACGCATTAAAAACAATGATTGGTTACACTCTTCATTGTACACATGAAACATGGCAAGCACACAATTAAAATATTTCGAAAACAATTACACAATTAAAATCTGTACACAATATGCGGTTACCACGTAGGGTTTAGCTACTAGTAGATAACTATACAACTACTAGTGAATTGTCTTGTTATAGAGGCGAACAGCGCAATGAAGTCTCTTAGTCCGGCCTTTAGGTGTCTACTGATTGTCACGATATGGTTCCAATCGGCAATTTCCTCTGGCATGTCAAGTGCTGTTTGTAAGAAGTGGACGATGTTGAATAGGGGGAGGTGTATAATGTACGCTAACCACCTAACTAGCGTCAGATTCTAGCCCATCTGTCTGTTTTGTCATCTACAGAGGTGTGCCGTTGGATAACGCCGAGAGTCAATTACTGTTAAGCATTCGTATGGTAGGTATAGTGTGGAACAACCAAACTGCTTTCAAAAAATAGACTCACTGGAACTTTCTACTTTTTAGTTATCTGACCCACTCCATCAGAGTACGTGACTACATTTGAGCATGGACCAAAGATTGTAGAAAGTCTATATCGACCCCCGTCCCGGTTGAGAGAAGGATTGGCGCGCAGTGACGGAATGTAACATCGCTTGACGCAGAATCAATTAAAGTATGTACAACTGTATGGCGTGGTTTAGTCTTTGTCTTTCACTTGCGCTTAGTAACGTTTAACGTCTTCATATTGTGCGAACGTGTATCCGTGTTAAAATATCGCAGAAACATCAAGCTAATTTAGACCCATAAATTCACAGATCGCAGGTATCAACTGTTGCGTTTACATGGCAACGCGATGCGTTCTTGAGATGTAAAAGCCGGAGCGATATCTCGAAGCTTTGGCCCTTTTCTCTACGCTAGAACTGATCCTGAAGGCTTACTCTCCTGCACTCCCCTTCACTTAAAAGTCGACAACATTTACATCTGCCCTTTGCGCAAAGTGGTAAGCCCGGGCATTGATCCGGTCACAGCTCACCCACTTCAAACGAAAAAGTTTTCCGATAACGCTGGCGGCCAGGTTAACACCTCCGGGCCGCCTCCGGGGCGGAGCGGTGCCGATCAAGCCGGGCTCAGGGCATGGAAAATGCACATTTTTATTTTAGGTTACGTGACGGTTTTGCTTGAACGGTTTTTTTACCATTTATTTACCATTAATTTGTTAGGCCGGGCTCGGGTCATGGAAAATGCACATTTTTATTTTATGTAATACGTGACGGCTTTGCTTGAATGGGTACCGAAGAATCCGTTGCTCTTGTGCGAATTGAAGCAAAAGCCCCGGTGTCTTTTCCAGACCATGCCATTTGTTAGCTACGACAGACCAACAGCTACGGGAGAGAGAGAGAGAATGAGGGAGAGAAAGGAGAGAGAGAGAGAACGAAATGAAAAGTTAACTGAAAGAAAATCCAGAGTCAAAGTTGGTGGTTTCCTATCACTGCGACTTTTTTGTCTGTCTGTTTTTTTTCACGTAGCCAAAACATAATACACTTCCCACTGCCTGTAAAAAATTATAAATCATTTTCTAGTATAGTTGAGTAACGTTTGAGTTTGCCCGATTGTAGGAATTGGGTCAATCGAATGATTTCTTCGAGGTCCGATCCCCAAAAACCTGCCACGTTTAATTTAAGTCCATCGTACCTTTTTGATCGGTCCACTTTAGGCATTAACTGCCGATCGTATTGGCAGACAATATAATGGGTGACCACCCAAAATCCATACAGCGAGCTTATTCTGTTCACATATCAACTGCCGATCAATAGACGGACCAAATCAGGATGGAGCTGTCCGGCAATATGTCAGAGATGTTGGTTAGAGAGCCATTTACCATGGTAAAGATACGAGTAAAAGGTCTCATAGACTTTTTTGAGGCGGTTAGGGGAGTGGGTTGTAACTTTACAGTGTCCCGGACACAGTATTAGATGACTTTTTACCGCGTTTGCCTCCCCAACCGAAGTCAGGTACCCGTTTTAGACCTGGATGGAGCAGGAAAATATGGTTAAGTGGCTTAATTAAGTGAGGTAAAGTTACATTGGCGAGGTCTGCGAAGCTGATGTGTTACGCTCAATGGTGGTTATACCTACTATACAGATGCAGCAGCTGGTGTGTTACGCCGAAGGGCAGTTCTACCGGCTATACAGATACAGAAGCTGGTGTGTTACGCCGAAGGGCAGTTATACCGGCTATACAGATACAGAAGCTGGTGTGTTACGCCGAAGGGCGGTTATACCAGCTATACAGATACAGAAGCTGGTGTGTTACGCCGAAGGGTGGTTATACCAGCTATACAGATACAGAATCTGGTGTGTTACGCCGAAGGACGGTTATACCGGCTATACAGATACAGGTACTGATACACAAAGTCTTGCCAGGAATGCCAGGGATCAAACAACCTCTTGATCATGGTGTCCTATCGCCTATATATCAACTCAGCCATTCTACGCCACTTTATTTACCGTGAAACATCATCATGTCTGTATCCACACACAGAGACTGAACAGATGACGCAGATGGTATAACTGAGATACGGCTCCAATGATGAAGCACGTGCACCTTGAAGTGTCATCTGCGACTCATATTTCAGATGACATAAAATACCGAGCTGTCGCCACGGCCCGCGCGGTTCGCGAAGGAGAACCTCTATCAAAGACACGAACTTATTACAAATTATCCATCAACGTCCGGCGGGCAAGATAAGGCAATATCGCACCGGCCGGTCGCAATGGCCGGGGAAGTTGGGCCAAATACTGCAGCTGCCACATGTGTGAGAGGTCTGGGGTTTAGGGCTAGGGGTAGAGTTAGGGTTAGGGTTAGAGTTACAGTTGGTATGATTGTTCAGGTCTAGAGTTACGATTAGGGTTAGTAGTAGTAGTAGTAGTAGTAGTAGTAGTAGTAGTAGTAATAATAGTAGCAGTTACTGTAGTAGTAGTAGACTGGTTTATTGAGTACATGCCTCCTGGCAGCCGTGGAGGGCTGAATCGTGAGGCTGTTTTTAAGTACAGACGTGTCAGTCTAACGAGAATTATACATTTACAGTTAAGATCGTTACAGTACAATGTTAAAACTTGCTTGTTCAATCATTAAAATTTTATAATTTTAACTCTCCAAGCAGAGGGTTAGGTTAAATTAGGTTAGGTTTAGTCTCCCACATCACGACTAGACCCCTCCCACCCCTTGTCTCGGGTATATTGAAAAGTAGAGTCGGAGTCATGTATTTTGCAGGATCATGTATCCGGCTCGACACCGGGTCAGCCCATCCTCAGGTTGGTGGGGATTACGCTGTCCGAGAGGCTGTCCACCGATTTACGTGTTCCCGGGAGATCTCTACTGCTCCCCACACCATCTGCCAGGAATTGATTCTTAAGGAACATATCGGTTTACTTGGAGTTACCTTGATGTGAGACATGTCACCGTGGTACCGACGACAGAAATGTTTTACACCTCTTTTCCCAAGAGGCAGCACTTCGAAAATTCTCAACAAGGACACGTCTTGCCACCTCCACCGAAGCAAATCACCCTTTCTTCCTCCATTCTCCACTTCTTAGGAGGAAGTTCCATGCTAAAAGCTTCTTTCCAAGAACAACATCACTATGGGATAATAAGCTACCTCGTGATTGCTTCCCCTATGAGTATAACCTTAAACTCTTTAAGTCTAAGGCCAACAAACATCTGTCCACTCTGGCTGTTCTGTAACCCAAAACATTTTAAGTGGCTCCCATGAGCCTTGTTTTGTGGTGACCGATGAAGTAGATTTAAAAAAAAACCTAAAGATTTGGCATATTGCTTAACGAGTTTTGTGTGCTTTACTTTGTCTTTTAAGTCATATTTTGCCTCATATTCCAATTATAACATTAAGGTTCACACAAATCCATGTAGGTTGTTGAGATTTCGGTTTATTTTATTTGAAAGTGATTCAGTGTCACGGTTGCTCACAATCAGAGGCAGCCCTGTACACAGAACAGACTAAATTTGAAACCACTCAGTATGGTTAAGACCGTTTTCATCCTTTTGCCTAATAAACCAATCCACTGACTTTCATCTCTTATACAAGCTTTCTGGGTGGTTATTTCCCAAAAATGTTAACAAAATGTGAAGCTCCACATCAAGAAGATATGTCCAACACATGCGGATTTCGCCCAAAGCGTACAGATATTAAAATATTAATGCGAATAGAATACAGATTTAGAATGACTTTATCTAAAGATGATTTGGCGCCATAATTCCTCACCGTCAGATTTAGAGACATTTATGATCATCTAAGAGAATTGTACGGAGCACGATATGAATGAAGCCAACCGCCGCGAAGACAATAAAGATTCAAAGCCACCTAAAGGTCACCCACGCCAATATTGAAGACATAAATGTAATCTGTGGAAGTACAACAAAGAGAGGGTATATACTCACCCAGGCAGAAGTAGATGACCACACAGATGACCAGGTCTCTCATAGCCATCATGACCTCTGGTGTCAGTACTCACGGGTACCTACCATAAAACAGGGAAAGGGCAGGACATTACAGAACCGTACGATCATCATCACTTTCAAACTAATCCTAATCACGTTTTACTGCATGGCGATATTTATTAAAGGCATTTGTTTTATCTTCGGTGATAATTCTTTTTTGCTTCCCCTGAACAGCTCCCCATCCCTCGATAAAACTGGTTATATTATTATTTGCTGAGTTATCTCGGCAGCACGTACCTGGGCCCGAAATACTGGGGGCATGTGCACGTTAGTGCACTCAAATTTGGAGCTGTGCACCCAATTTTTTCTGTGGGTGCACTGGTGCACCCAAATATTTATGTATGTCGAGATTGTATACTATAGTAGTATATGGCATATTCTTATATAATAACATCTAATTGTCAAATTGAAAAATCATTCTTATAGTACTTTTCCTTAGAAACAAAGCATACCTAGTTTTGCTGACATTCTACTTGGTTTATTTTATGGTGCACCCAAACAATTTTTTGTGCACCAAATGTTTTTGGTTGGGTGCACCAGTGCACCTATTTCCAAAAATGAATTTCGAGCCCAGCGTACCTACTAGCCTTACATACGCATGGCCACGAGGCTCACGTAGGCGTAGGAATCACTGGTCTGCTGCCTCAGATTTAGTGAAGCAATAAGCAATTTTTGCTTCCAGTCACCCGGTCTGTGTTTCGGCTACTCTCCAAGCAGAGGTTTAGGCTGGAGATTATTTTGACGTGTTTTTAGGCGTTTTTATTGGGCATTTTTTTTTTTACTGGTATCTTTTTTAAGCCTAAGAAATTATAATTTCCTGTCAAATGGTAACTTCCTGGCTAATGGATACTGCTTGGCTAGTGGATACTGCCTGGCCAATGGTAACTGCCAGACCAATTTGATACTGTCTTTGTAAAGTCACCAAACCAAAATATCAGCTTGGAGATTATGTTTCAGCTAGCTTTATACGCTAACGCCATCTGTTTGCAGATTTTAGAAATCATTTTACTGCATCCCCTGGTCATTCCCAGTAGTACCCTGGCAGCCAGGCCATCGTATCCTCGCTGACATCTCCACGGTGTTGGGAAGGCTGCCTGCCCGCCCAGGACTTTTAGCGCACTCCCCGGGATTTTTTACAGGATCGGTTTCAATTACTTTACCTACTCTCTATAGGACGGTTATAATTAGAGAGCCCGTCTGGAAAGATCTAGCATATTAGGAGAGGCCCATGCTTAGTAAGACTGGGGCCTGTGAAATACGCCAAAGCCTGTTGAGAAAAGTAACCAGTCCATGCCCGTATGTGTGTGCACTGACATTAAGTGTTGAGCAGCCCAGTAAATGAATTACACAGAGTAGACTCTAGACTCCTAATGCAGTGATTATGTGATAACGTTCGCTAATAGAAAATCCCCAATGCAGACGGAACAGATATTCCTCCTGACGTATGTGTAATTGCAAAGTCAGCATATTTTACACCCTTTCCCTCCTTTTATGATGCTAGAGATTTCCGTAGATGTGTCATCAGTTTTTTATTCATCACAAGACGTGGTGATGGCACACTCAAGTTTTTCAGGTTATTTTTATGCTGCCACCAACGCAGAGGGCAAACGTACGAACGGACAATGCACAATGCACATACTCATTTTCACCTGAGTGAAGTGAGTAAAGCCTTTCCCAAGGGCAAGGGATCGGTGGCATAGCAGGATTCGAACGCTCGGTCTTTACGCCACACGACCCCACAGTTTTTTTTGTTCCAACATTTCATGACTAGACATGGTGACGGCACACTCAAGTTATATCAACTTATTTTATGCCGCCACCAATGCAGACGACGAATACAAGACAAGACAATACTCATTTTCACTTGAGTGAAGTGAGTAAAGCCGTGCAAAGTGCCTTTCCCAAGGGTACAGGATCGGTGGCATGGCAGGATTCGAACTCGGACCTCTTGGTTCCCAGCCGAACGCTCTGTCTTTACGCCACGCGACCCCACAGTTCTCTTTGATGCGTCCTCGAGACCGGTAATAGTTACATACGTCTCTCCCGGGAACAGCCGAGGCAATCAAACAATTATTATCAAATTTTCAATTTGTTCCGTGTAATGTCACGCTCGGTGTCGCGTCCCGGTAGGATGATGGTACACATCAGCGGAGTGACGTTCACTCTCAGGGGTTAATAGTTGAACTATGCACTGAAGCTAAGTGTTATTGGTTCACTGTGTAATGAAGTTAGATATCACTAATGTACAGAAGCTAGGTGTTACTGGTTCACTGTGTACAGAAGCTAGGTGTTACTGGTTTACTGTACACTGAAGCTAGGTGCTACTTGTTCACTGTGTACAGAAGCTAGGTGTTACTGGTTTACTGTACACTGAAGCTAGGTGCTACTTGTTCACTGTGTACAGAAGCTAGGTGTTACTGGTTTACTGTACACTGAAGCTAGGTGCTACTTGTTCACTGTGTACAGAAGCTAGGTGTTACTGGTTTACTGTACACTGAAGCTAGGTGCTACTTGTTCACTGTGCACTGAAGCTAGGTGTTACTGGTTTACTGTGTACAGAAGCTAGGTGTTACTGGTTCAGACTTTCTTAAATATTGGCGCAAAAGAGTTTCTAAAAAGAAGCTCTCAAGTGCCATGCAGAGAGAGTACCTGCACAGCACAAAAAACGGAAGTTCTGCTGCAGTACCAAGGAACCCCAGGAGGCCCATATTTGACCTTGACCTTCGTCTTCCTAAGACTTACCAACATACTAAATATCATCACAATCCATAAAGGCGTTATGAAGTTATGCTGACTGCAAATGCGCGGAAACACAAACACAAAGACACACACACAGAGACACAGAGACAGACAGAAACACACACACAGACACGCCAAAAACAATACCTCTATTTTTCATGGAGGTAAAAAAAACTCTCCCGAGTTACGCCGTGTCTGTATGACCTGCGGCTCACTCCGGCGACCTCCCCGAGAATATAACACTGCGGCGAGGTCGCCCTTTCGACCGCAGGTACCTTTTTTACCATCCACGTCACGTTCCGCGGTGTCTGCATGGTGTGCATCGCTGTATGCAGAACCTTGCTTTATCCCGGGCCTTTTTTGTTCATTTCCAATATGTAATCACAAGACGTGGTGACGGAACACTCAAGTTTTTTCAACTTATATTAATGCCGCCACCAATACAAGAGACAATACTAATTTTCACCTGAGTGTTATTTGCACCTAGTCCGAAAGATGAATTTCGGGTCCAAGTCATCTGGCCTTTAATTACATTTACCGCAATCTACACTGTATCAATTATCAACCTTTAGAACAGTATCATGCTAACTGGATTATAAATCCTGCATGAGGTTCATGTGAAAATTGAGCCGGCGCTCCGACGTGTATGGATGTGAACGCTGCACTAAGGCCACATCAATTTAATTTCTTGTTCCTCGGATTCGCCCTGTCCATTTAAAAAAAGTAGGTTATATGTACAACCCCACCCTCAACAGGGAAGGGGGGCTACGAGTAAATATTTCCGGCACTTGGGATTTGGCACTCCCAGCCCCGAGGACAGACAACACTTAAGCTCCTGTTCTGTATAACAGGAGCTTTCTGACTAATTTGCATTATCTTGTCTTGAATTGTCTGACTTTTGTTCCTTTTTCGACTTCCAAAAATCTGTCTTCACTTTATTTGCATATCGATCAATAGGTGTGCTTGTAAACCTGCATTTCCCCTCTGGTCTCTCGGTCACTGACGAAAGTTAGTGGATGCTAGCTGAAACGTCTGGCGTTTCCAAAATCACATCCAGTTGCTTGAGTAACTGCTTTTTGGCGTATAGTATTACCTGGATGTCTAACCTTCATCGACGTAGGTTATAAATAAACTGCAAAATGCTCAATGAAAGACATTTTTACCCCAACGGTTGAAGAAAGTCCTTTTCTTCCTCGTTGTTAAAGTTTTTCAATGTAACATAGTAACTTTGTTTCATTAAAAGTTCAAAATCTATTGTTTTAATAATAAACCAGTCTGGTATGTTGACTTTATGGCTCATATCGTAACATTTCCGGCTATCATGGGGTGCCTTGGCCTGTCGCTTCACATTTTTTCTGAAAAAAAAATCCGAGAAGCAACAAATTGAATTGGTATGGCCTAATCTGCCCGGTCTAGTTTAGTATGAGCGACGGCGGCTCCAATTTTTCACCGATGGAGCCAAATTACCCGCGACCGGCGCATATTATAACCTTTGAAATTATACGTAGGGAGCGCAAAGGTGACTTTCTGCTAACGCTGAGTAGATATTAGCCTTACAGTTAGACTTTTTAGAAAATGGATAGATTCGCTGACCGGGTGACTTGGGGTCTACAGGGCGGGCTCTAAACGCTAGCTACAGGTCGTCTGAGCACCTTCAACCCGATCGGAAGTCCATGCTAAAAACCTTAAAAGTTCCCAGCAACTCTGCATCCCACTGGCAAAAACAAACCGTTACAAAAACAGCCCTATCCCGTACTTCACTTACCTCTTGAACAAATATACCTGTTAAAATCTCCAAGTGTCAATTATTACATCAATTATTACAGCTTATTAAGAACCTTTTCAATTCCTTATAATGTTATCATCATTGTAATATGTCATTGTTTACTAGTTTTTTTTTTAGATTTGTTATCATGTTGATCATGTAATATAGATATAGATTTGTTATCATGTTGATCATGTAAAATGTGCAATTCAACATCTTTTACTATACAAATGAAGCTGCCATGTATTTTACTGAAATGTGAACGAAGTCAAATAAACTCAATATATAAGTTTTTCAGGCAACGTTATATTGAAAGTTTTATTGCAAATATATGCCCGAGCATATACAAACAATATGTATGAAAAAGAAAATACAATGATATGAGAGACTATATACAAAATTTAAGTTATACTACATTCTACAACATACATACTAATTTTGTTGGGTTTGTTATGTAACATCTTTATTCCCCTTCACGAAAAGTT